ATTTGTCCAGATAATTTCGAAAAATTAAAAGGTTGAATTGAATGTCGAACCTTGAATCTCCAATTTCGAATCCCTAATATCAACATTAGAAGTTGATTTGCAAATTTCTAATATATAATCCCGAATTAAACTTTTGTAGCCTTCAAGGTTAGGAGAGGGTTGGGCGCCCGCAAACATGTTTAACCCCGACACATTATGTATGTGCCTGTTTCAAGTCGTTCTTTGCTGTATATAATCATATTGTTTTTCGTTCATTGTTTTGTTAATAAATCAGGCCGTAAGTTTTCTGTTTTGAATTGTTTTACATTTGTCATTTCGGGGCCTTTTATAGCTGACTATGCGGTTTGGGGTTTGCTCATTGTTGAAGGCCGTACGGTAACCTATAGTTGTTAATTTCTATGTCATTTTGGTCTCTAGTGGAGAGTTGTCTCATTGGCAATCATACCACATCTGCTTATCTTTATATTCATACATCCTGTAGTAAATTTGCCCACTCTTTGGTGCAAAATAGCCACTGGTTGTGCTAGTTTCTTACGGTTTGAAAGTCGACACTTTTTTTCAACAATAACGTGTTTGTATTGTATTATTTTATATTTGTTTCAAATAAATAAATTTCCAAAGGTTTATGTTAATATGGGGTAATTTTAATCGGTTTTTAAGAATCTACATAAACTCAGAACGCTCAGAACTAGTATGCAGACAAAATGCATGCATTAATTGACAAATATAGTTCATTGTTAACATTATCACGTTAAAATAATTTTGTTCTTAAATATTTACCTTTTTGTGCTTACTTTAGGACCCAGTCGCCAGTAAATTATACTCAAGTTCATTTATGTCGATGGTTTTTATAGTTTGATATAATAATTAACAAGCAGCTTGGAAGTACTCGATCAAAATTTATTTGAATGTAAATTTAATGAAATTAGGAATTTTTAATTTGTCAATAAGTTTTATGCAAATTGTAAAATAATTTTGATGATCGCTAAGTTAAACACCTTTCAATGATTTATAGTGAATTATACTGTGGTTACGTAATAGGTCATAGTATTTCGAAATAATTCGACGGGATATGAATGGGAAACTCTGGACATTAGTAAGGGAATGTCAGAGAGTGTGATTGATCACAAAACAAACGCCATGCATACAGATAAGTATAATATATATTTGCGAACAGATGTACACGTAAATTAAACTATTCAAGTATAGTCAATTGGTTTCCTCTATTATCCAATCTTTGTTATTTTTTAATAGCTTTTGAGAACTTGAACTTTGCAATGATAAGGCTATGAAAAATCAAGAGAGAACATTTTCCTGCCAAAATTTCAATAGCTACTATCTCGAAAACAAGCACATTGACCTATATTTTCTTGTTGCTCTTTTGGTTCCTTTAATAATCCCCTATCAATTTATACTAGTGTTATGAAAAGCTTGTTATTTTGAAACTGAGTAGCGAACCTCCTTAAAGTGCTTTTTTCTGGATTTACCTCCATCAGGAACGCTCAAACTTAAACATTTGAAAGCCAGGGGTATATACATATGTAGATACGTTAGGAAGTATACGACCAAAATGGACCTAAATGAATAGCAAAACTGCTGCAAGGTTAACTCTGCTTGATGTAAAATGTAAAAGTCAGTGATACTTAATCTACTGCTTACAAACCGTTGTCTGAAATATTAACCATATGTACTTGAGGTAAAATGTCTAGGTAGCTAATGAAATAAAACAAAAGTGTGAAATGAAGTTTTTTAAAGACCTTAATTTCATTCAATTTATAGCTAGAATGTTATAATCAAAACAATACATATTGACTATTGGTTGTTGATTTATAAAGTAAGAAAGAAAAATGATATTTTCATTAAACGCAAATTTTGAAATTTGTGAACATACGTGTTTTTATAGATATTTCGCTGAAGAACAAAAATCAATTACAATCTGAGCGGAAGAGCTATAAACATACTGAGGTCAAAAATTGAGTGCTTTTATTTTGAAAGTACAAAATATGACATAAAAAAGAACAAAACATATAGTATTAAATGTATATGTAATTTCAATAGAAAGATCAGATCGGAATACTTGTAAACATTTAAATTACAGACAAAAAAAATGTATTAGGTTTTTGTAAATCTTTCAAAGTGATCGTTTCCGTTACAAGCTTTCAACTTCAGTGATGTGTTTTTAAGTTAAAAGATATGACAAAAGAGAGTAATAGGCCTTTTTTTTACTCTCTTGCATTTTAACATAGTAGGAAATATGTATACGTTATAGAAAATTAGTTTTTATTATATTGAATTTAAATACTAGAATAAATTTTATTATTTTGATGTTGTCAATCTCACTATATATTAAATAGCACTAGTTACTTTCAGAGGATGTGAGTTGTTTTTTACATCCGCAAATTGTATGAGATCCTTTTATTCGATATAAGAAAATTACCATATTGTTCCATTAAAATCATATGGTGTTCAAATACTGCATTTAATTAAAAAACAAAACATTTCAAATATGAAATTGACGTTTTTTGTTTTTAATAAAAGAGTGGCATAAACATGACTGTACCTACAGTGTGTGTACATCTGGCTTTTCATCTAAAACGAATGTTCACAGTTTCTGTCATGAGCAAAAGGTCGGGTACCATTTGTGGATTGCGTGTACCCCAGAATTATTTTCTTTTGTTCATGATGCTCGTTTTATATAAAGTTTTCTATAAAATGCTTTATGGACTGTGGTATTTGATATTTTTTGTCATTTTCCTTCAAAACTTTTGACTTTTGCGTTCTATTGCTTTTTTATAAAGAAAAATAACAAAAATACCGAACTCCAAGGAAAATTCAAATCGGAAAGTCCTTTTTCAAATGGCAAAATCAAAAGCTCAAACACATCAAACGAATGTATGTTCTTCGTATTTTGATTTTATATTTCCCCATTTGTATCTTCCTAGTTTTCTGTTTGTCCGTTTTGTGGTATGATGCTGCCAAATCATTCGTTCAAAGTATTGAGCTTCCCCATGCTTTTTGTTTCAAAAGTATCACATGATTGATACTGAAGCATCACGTGTCGTGTGCCCTGAAATCAGTATCACGTGTATTTACAAATATGCAAATTTAGTTGTCACGGTACGATACTGGTTAAGTCATTTTGCCTCAGTGAAAATATGTGAGTGATTTTAAAAGAATTGAATAATAAGAGACAGTACATCAAAGTAAATCATTTTACCATCCTCTAACTTTATGATTTACATTTAATTCCTTCAATATACACTTGATGATACCTGCTTCATACTGTTGTTTAAACATATCAACAGTAATAGCAAAGCAATCAGTGACTCTTGAAATGATCGTTGTCTGTTGAAAGTAAGAAAGCAAAAAATACTACAAACTTATTTTAAAACAGAAAAGGTTTCACTTAATATTTTTTTCAAATTAGAAAAGATTAGCACACATCAAAGCCACCATCGTTTTAAATATAAAATTACAAATCTCAAGCAAGCTTTGAAATACTTTTTTTATTTCCGTTAGCTGACAAAAGCTACCGGTACATGTCGTTATAAGAACGACGAAATACAGTAGTTGAAATATGTAAAAAATTTAAATATTTTCATTTTGTAAGAACAAACGAGAAAATATGAAAAGATTGAATTAACTCAAGACAACGAAATTGTTTTATGATATGCACAATCGTTCAATCTTAACTAAAAAGATATTCAATTAGTATTTTAAAAACACGTAGTTTGGGATATCTCAATTAAATTATGATACAAGGAAATTATTACTCCAACTTAGACGAAAATACACAAAACGAAACAATTTGAAAGCAAAAACAAAGCGAGACAAATGCACTGTTAATGAAAACAAAGAAATATACAAATAGAAACACACTTATAATGAAACTTTTAATCGTTGGGAAAAAGTGAAGCTGTCAGACTTCTAGATACAGGTGGATTAATGTTGATTTGCTTAGAAATATAGTTTGGAACCTGATTGAAATTTTTCTTTCATTTTTTCCCTGTGTTGAAATTATGCACAATATCGTGTCTTCCTGTACTGTTCATGATGGTAAGAAATCTACTTGACTCTAAAATAACATTTTGATACGAGTTGCAACTCTTTCAAGGGAATGCGTACTTGTTCACTACAAACAAGTGCTTATGAGAGAAGTAAATAATACATAATTGTTTATCTTGATGTATAGTGAAATCCAGTTTTATACTCGAGTTTGATTGTAAATTTGTTATATGTGAATAATGTTGCATATATCCTATTGACATTGGTATTGAAATAAAGGATAACACAGATTCAACTAGGTTTGCTTCATACCATGACTTTGTATTACTCTTGCTATAGATTTTCTGTGTATTGTTATGTGATGGTTTATGTTATAGTGTCTGTGTTGTTTTATAGGCTGAGGCGATACCAGAGAGACATTCAAACTCATAAGTCGAAAATAAACTGACAAAACCATGGCAAAAAAAGAAAATAGACCAGAAGACAAACAAATGCCGGTTCGTGAATATTCGGACATGACTTTTGATTGATTGTATATCGTAATAAATCTGGGAAATGCAGACATTTCCATTTTTGCGCTTTTTGTACCAGTACTTATTTACTGATAATATCGAATAACTGTCGTTGGGTCAGGAAGATAGAACTTCTGAGTTCACAACATTGAAATACGAACTGCCTTAATGAAAAGGACAGAAACGATTCAGAAGAGACGTATAAGTTAATACACTGCACATCGCATTATATTACACTTAATTAAACAAATATGTATGTATAACCCCAAATATTTTTTGCATAGGATCTTATACATTATGACAGTATTATTATTAAAAGCAAATATTCGAATAGACGCAGCTGAACACACATTTTGAAAACTGGAAACATTATCAGTGAAAATAAAATAACTCGTTTGATTGGTTGATTCTGAAAAGGTTTATAAGAGAACTTCGCATTGTATGTGTAGTGTACTGAACTGTTTTAACAGTGCTACAAAAAAGTTAAGAAAAAATCTTTTATTTCCTGTTACAAAATGTACCGAAAATTACATATACGTAAACTTTCATTTTGGAAAAATATAATTGAAAATCGACATGACTGTTTAAATACTAGCTGACATTAAGTAGATGTGACATTTCGTTTCAAAACCTCCTCCCACGTCTTACTAAACGTTGCCGACGAAATGTTGGTCTTCTGAAGAACCTTCGACTTCGAACAGTATTAAAGGATGGTCGCCTTCGGAATACCCTCCTTCTTTGCCATCTGTTTTCGTTACTGTCGTTGTCGTTATTTCTTGAACGTTGGCGTTGTCGAATTAGTCTTTGTCTCAATAATATTCTGTTTCTTAAACTGTTTCGTTGAAGAATTAAACGTCTTCTTCTGTCATTATCATCGTCATCATCAGATCTCCTGAATGTTTGACGTCTGAATGTAGGTCTCCTGGAGAATGTACGCCCACTTTGCCATATCCCATTTTCGTTGCTATCGTTATCATTATCGTCGCTGAACTGTCCTTCAATGCAAACAGCCAAAAGAATAACCTCTATCAACAGGAGAAAGAGGTTCATTATCTGTGAATAAAAAGATAACATAATCTTATCTTAACTTTCCTTTACTTTTTGTTTGCAATTTTAAAAGTCTTTTTTAGTGCTCCTAAAATATATATGTAATTTCAAGAAAAAAAGATATTGAAGGGAGGAAGGCATTCCACCATTCTTCGGTCAGAACTTTTGATTTTGTTCTGATTATTATTATTATTAGATCTTTCAACTCTTCTGTGAAAAGACATGTTGATTAATATATGATTATCGTTTTCTTTCTGTCACTTTTTTTCTTCGACTGCATCTTTTTTTTTCCGCAAAACATAGTTGGTATATGATATGGAACAGTTATTGCAATTTTGATACTCAAAGCTTTAATGTGACATTTTATAGGAGTTATCTGCCCTTCACTTCTTTACCACGTGTTATGTTAGTGTAAGTAATTAACCGGAAGCTGTAAAGAATTATGATTTTTTTATTTGATTTCAGATGCCAAGGCCATATCTTGAAACAAATGGTAAAGGTCCACGTCATACGTCATTTTGAAATTTATTTTGATTGTATCTCTCCTTTATCTCCTCTGAAATTATAATAGATAGATATAAAAAAAAACATTTCAAAATGATTGTTTATTGAGATACAAATTTGACTCTCTTATAGAAGTTATTGTCCCTGGTATGTTTAAATTTAAGATTGATTTATAAATATTTCAAACTTGTACATGATAAAGCTATGGGGTGCTTTTCAAAGGTTTTGAAGACACATGATTTTTAAAATGTCAACCTGGAGTGACACTGTGTAAACTGGAATAACCATTTTCCATTTATTACATAGAAAATTATCTATAACCACCATAAAACATGACATCGGAAGTGACATAATGTAAACCGGCCGTTCGAAAACCGTCGTGGGTAGTCAAGGTTGTGAAACATCTCACGTAATCATTTAAACCGGAATTATATCACACATTTCAAGCAAAATTACATACAAACCAGATATTTTTGAAATCAGCGTAAAATAAGCTTTTATATGACAAGGCATAACTATGACAATTTATAACCTGGCAATGGCATAGTATACCCCTTATTTCAAATAAGTGTATATGGAAACCTTTGTTTTGAAAACGTATAAAGTGAATAACTAACGTATCATTTTAACGTTGGACGTGACTTTTTTTAAGCCGTTAGAAGCAGATTATCCAACTTATTCATACACAAGTACTAAAAATAATTTGGGTTTTTTCTTTTTATGCGTAAAATAAGCTATCGTATGACACAAGAAATCACTCTTTTTCATCCTCACATATAAAAAAAATTAAATTTCAGCATATCTTTGTTAAATTTCATTTCAGCTTTAATAATAAAAAAAATTGTGAATTCGCTGGTGGAAAGACGTGAAACATGTTAAATGGTATTCTGTACAATTGGTTTTTAATCAATTTCTATTTCTTCTTCTGCCATTTTTTTCTTGCGTTGTATTTCTGTTTCAAAAAGAGATTATGCGTCATATTTATACTATAGCCCCGTGGGGGTTACTGACTATCCTTTCGGGTGTAACGGTGCCAACAGCACTTGCCAAATCATACCCTGTTCTAACCAGAAAACATTGAAAACATACCCTGTTCTAAACAGAAATATTGAAAAACATACCCTGTTCTAGACACGCTCAGAAAAAGTATACCCTATTCTAGACACGATCAGAAAATGTATACCTTGTTTAAAAAAAGACCCTGTTCTCACCAACAGGGCATGAAAAAGCGACCCTGTTTTGCGGCACACTCGTACCACTAAAAATATAGGAAGTAACCTCCCCCCCCCCGGGACTATAGCATGCGTCATAATATTATTTATACTATAGCATGCGTCATAATATTATTTATACTATAGCATGCGTCATAATATTATTTATACTATAGCATGCGTCATAATATTATTTATACTATAGCATGCGTCATAATATTATTTATAATATAGCATGCGTCATAATACTATTTATACTAACTTGTTTTCTATATGTCTTGACAGTCCAAACAATATGAGGGCGACATTTTTATTTAATGTTTCACATAAAATGTCCATACCACATTGGTCAGTAATTAACTACGTTGACTATAATTTTATGCAACCTGCTGTCATTATAACACAGGTGAAGGTAAGTCAATAGTTGGAACATGTAGCGTATTAAAGTAAATACGGACCAAAACGTTGGCAATATAGAGATTTATTTTATTTCTTTCAATTGTTACAGTGAGTAGGTCAAAGACCTTATTTACATATCATTTAGTTCTTTATCCTCATATTTTTAAGGTTTTTTGTTGATAATTTGTTAAGAGACATTTCATTAGCCAAACTGATTCATAATAGATATTTTTTTTTAATTGAGATGTCGAGTTTTGAATTTCGGAATTTCGGTCCAGTAGAATAATTCGAGATTCGATATTCGACAATATTTAAAGTTTGAAATTCCATTTTCAACGAAATTCCTTATCCGAGTTTGAAATTCGAGATTCGATGTCCGAATTCAACAATCAGAAGACGGCTTTATTTGGCAGTTGTTTCCCACTTGTTCCGTTGATTGATAGCGTTTATTATTTTTTTTCTTCAGTTTTTTTGGACTTCCCCTTTTTGAATTTGCATTGGAGATCAGTATGTTTTGTTAGACTTTTGTCAATTACGGAATGTCCGAAAATCTAAATAGATACCAAATCAATGGATGTTTAGATGTGTATATGCATTTCGACCTAATGAAAAGAAAAAGAATTTTAGAATGTTGTCTTTTAATATTTTTTTTCCTTGATCAGTGATATATTATGGGCTTGTCTCGTATTCGTACAGGTATGTTGCTGTACACTAAAGGATATATATATTTTTTCATTTATCACATATATTTGGTAAGTTAGTAACATATTTTGAAATTCTTTTTCGTTGTCTTTAAATTTTATTTTAGCTTTATAATTTCGTTTTGATCTATCCTGTTCAGTTACAAGTTTGCTGTTACAGCATGTAGTAGTGTAACGGTGTTGACGTTCCTTAAAATGTGTAAGTTATATAAAACCATGCATGATGCAGCAGTTGATTTGCTAAACGTTTGTCCGTTTCTGTTTTTCATAATAAATATTTTGAACATTATTATTGTAAAATCGACAGAACAATGCGGAAACCCCCTGCTCATGTCAACAATTACTTTGAACCATTGCTTTAAATAAAAATGGCAAAAATGTAAACAAATTTATAAATATTATTAGTTTCGTTTTTTAAGCATGTATGTTAAAGGGCCACTTGCCTTCTTTACTTTTTGTCATTCATTTTAATATTCAGGAAGTTAAACTTTAATTTGTTTAACTACTTTTAAATGTCCTGGTAATTTCAAAAATTTTAAAGGTTGAATTGAATGTCGAACCCTCAATCTCGAATACCAAAGTAAGAAATCGAATTCAAATTTCGAAAACTAATATCAACTTAAGATGTTGATTTGCCAACTTCGAATATATAATCCAGAATGATCATTCTGACCTTTCGCAAGGATGATCTTGAACGTCTAATCCCGAATGATTATTATGAGTTATATATCGTAAGGGTGATCTCTAATTTCAAATTAAGATTTCAAATCCATTCGGACTTTTGTTATGAAGCCTTCATACAACTTGAAGTAAATCAAATTTCTCCATCCTTTTGTGCACCATAGCCACTGGTTGTACTATTTCTTGAAGCATAAAAGTCGACAGCAGTTTAGTGTTTGTATTGTATTATTTTATGTTTGTTTCAAATGAATAAATGAAAAAAGGTAACGTTAATATGGGGTAATCTATTTCGGTATTCAAGAATCTACACTAATGCTTATTGCATAACTTGTAAACTCAGAACGATCAGAATTAGTCTTTGCAGAACAAATGCATGCATTAATTGACAAATAGAGTTCATTGTTAACATAAGCACGTTAAAATATGTTCTCAAATATTTACCTTTTTGTGTTCACTTTAGGACCCAGTCGCCAGTAAATTCTACTTAATTTCATTTATTTCGATGGTTTATATAGTTGATATAATAATTAGCAAGTAGCTTAGAAATACTCGATCAATCTTTATTTGAATGTAAATTTAATGAAATTAGATTTTTTTTTTAATTTCTCAATAAATTTTAGGCAAATTGTCACATAATTTTGATGATCGCTAAGTAGTGAATTGTACTGTGGTTACGTAATAGTTTCTAGTAATTCGAAATAATTCGACGGGATATCAATGGGAAACTCTGGAAATTAGTAAGAGAATGTCAGAGAGTGTGATTGATAACAAAACGAACACCATGCATACAGATTAGTATAATATATTTGCGTACAGATGTACACGTAAATTAAACTATTCAAGTATTGCCAATCGATTACCTCTGTTATCCAGTGCGTTGTAGTTCGAAAAGGATTCATGGCTATCTTTAAAATTTCTTCATTTTATATGAAAATAATCCTATATGAAGTTTGTGTATTTAAAGTGCTTTTTCTGCATTTACCTCCACCAGAAACGCTAAAACCTAAACATTTGAAAGCCAGGGGTATACATATGTAGATACGTTAGGAAGTATATGACTAAAATGGACCTAAATGAATAGTAAAATTGCAGTAAGGTCAACTCTGCTTAATGTACAATGTAAAAGTCAGTGATACTTAATTAACTACTTACAAAGCGTTGTATGAAATATTTACCATGTGTACTTGAGGTAAATGTCTAGGTACCTAATGAAATAAAAGATAGTGTGAAATTATATACTTTTTTAAAGACCTTAATTCCATTTATTTTGTAGTTAGAATGTTATAATCAAACGAATACATATTAGCTTTTGGTTATTGATTTAAAAGAAAGAAAGACATACATATTGGCTTTTGGTTGTTGATTTTGGTGGGGTTCGTGTTGCTTAGTCTTTAGTTTTCTATGTTGTGTCTTCTGTACTATTATTTGTCTGTTTGTCTGTTTGTCTTTTTATTTTTGGCCATGGCGTTGTCAGTTTGTTTTCGATCTATGACTGTCCCTCTGGTATCTTTCGTCCCTCTTTTAAAAAGAAAGAGAGAAAAGTGATATATTCATTAAACGCAAATTTTGAAATTTGCGGACATACGTGTTGCTGAATCACAAAAATGGATTACAGCCTGAGCAAAAGGGCCATAAACATACTGATGTCAAAACTTGAGAGCTATGATTTGTTTTTAAGTACTAAATATAACATTAAAAAGAACAAAACAAATATAATAAATATCTATGTAATTGCAATCAAAAGACCGATTCATACAGTTATCAATACGACTTGAATTGGTTTAGGAATACTTGTAAACATTTAAATTACACAGGCAAAAAAATGTCCTTTTGATTATTCGTAAAACTTTCAAAGTGAGCATTTCCGTTACAAGCTTTCAACTTCAATAATGTGTTTTTTGCGTTATGAAATATGTGAAAAGAGAGTAATCGACCTTATTTCAAAATCTCTTGCATTTTAACATAGTAGGAAATAGACTTATATTTTATACGTTATAGAAAATTTGTTTTTATTATGTTGTAATTTAATACAAGAATGAATTTTATTTTTTTTTATGTTGTCAATCTTACAGTTATTTTGAAGTATCCTGGTTGTTGGCAAGTTAAATTTACTTTTCATTATATATTAGATATCACTAGTTACTTTCAGAAGGTGTGGCTTTTTTTTTTTTTTAAATTAACACAAATCGTATGAGATAATTTTATTAAATATAAGAATTTTTCAATATTGTTCCATTAAAGTCATCTGGTACTGCATTTTATATAAAGGAAAAAAATATTTCAAATTTAAAATTGACGTTATGTGTTTTGAGTAAAAGAGTGGCATATACATAAAATTGAGAATGGAAATGGGGAATGTGTCAAAGAGACAACAACCCGACCACAGAACAGACAACAGCAGAAGGCCACCAACAGGTCTTCAATGCAGCGAGAAATTCCCGCACCCGGAGGCGTCCTTCAGCTGGCCCCTAAACAAATATATATACTAGTTCAGTGATAATGAACGCCATACTAAACTCCAAATTGTACACAAGAAACTAAAATTAAAAATAATACAAGACTAACAAAGGCTAGAGGCTCCTGACTTGGGACAGGCGCAAAATGCGGCGGGGTTAAACATGTTTATGAGATCTCAACCCTCCCCCTATACCTCCAGCCAATGTAGAAAAGTAAACGCATAACAATACGCACATTAAAATTCAGTTCAAGAGAAGTCCGAGTCTGATGTCAGAAGATGTAACCAAAGAAAATAAACAAAATGACAATAATACATAAATAACAACAGACTACTATCAGTTAACTGACATGCCAGCTCCAGACTTCAATTAAACTGATTGAAAGATTATGTCTTCATCATATGAATATCAGGCACAATCCTTCCCGTTAGGGGTTTAGTATCATACCATCATAACATATATGAGAAGAACATAACCCGTGTCATGCCAACAACTGGTTTTTAAATAAATGTGTTTAGTGCCGATGCAAAGACCCTATAAGTGAATCAATATTAACGCCAAAATATGCAATCTTTAATGACCTGACAACAGTATCATGACTGTTCCGTCAGTATGTGTACTAGTACCTCTGGCTTTTCGCCTAAAAACGAATGTGCACCTGATTTGTCATGTGCAGCAGGTCGGGTACCGTTTGTTGATTTTTTTTTCTATTTCGGAGTACTTGAGTGTACCCCAGATTTTTTTCTTGGGTTCGTGTTACTCGTTCTATATAATTAAAGAGGCGGAAGATGCCAAAGGGATATTCAAACTCATAAGTCGAAGACAAACTGACATGGCAAAGAACAAAAGACAAACAACAGTCTGCAAAACACAATATAGAAAACTGAAGACCTGAGCAACACGAACACCGTTCTCAGGTGCTTGAAAGTGGATCTACTTCTAAAAAATTCTTTCAAACATATCATGAGATGTTGTTATAAACTAATTTAAATACGCTTAGTCTCCTGCAAAAAATATGTTAGCCATATTATAAAAGAAAAAATTACCAAAAATGTCAAATCACTTTCCAGACAATACAATAACATTAACCTTTCAAAATTGAACAGAGAGATTTGACAGGTACCAATAAAAAAGCAATATGAATATGAATGATACAGAATATGACCTCGATAACAAAATACTATGTATTTGAATTGCCTTCTAAATGTTTTGATTCGAGTGAGCCTTCCAAATGGTTTGATTCGAGTGGGACTAATGAGTCTTATGTTGACAAAACGCGCGTCTAGAGTACTAAATTATACGCCTGGTATCTTTGACGAATCTTAACTACCACTAGATTGCTTTCACTGCTGGTGGACGTTTCATCAATCGAAAATACCACCAGCTAAGTATTCAGCCCTTTTGTGTTGACATGAAAAATCGTTGACAAGTTCTTTTTCTTTAAATTAACTGTTTATAAGATGTTGAATTATTCGAAACACTTAAGTTTTTTTCAACATGCAGACATAGATTGCTTTGGCTGTATTGGCACAACTTTTCCAAAATTTTGGCATGTAATGCTTTTTCTTCAACTTCGTATTTGATTTTGTTTTTTTGGGAACTGTTTCATAATTTTGTAATACGTATAACATTTACTTAACGATGTTACTATTATCACATTGAAATTATTAATGTGATTGTTTTTGTTTTACACAAAATTAAATTCATTTTAATAAGGATCCGTGTGTATACTTTTGAATTGCGTCAGATTTAAAAATAAAATTGACCAAGCAGAAATAAGAATGATAATTCAACATACTTGCGTAACCTAGAAGTTTCATAGGATTACGTAATTTTGATAGGCCGGGTCACTCCAAAAGTTATAATTTATTTCCGTTTACATTGCAGCAACATACTTTTATTATAATAACCTTCCTAAATTTCTAATTTAATCGGTTAACAGTTCATATAATAAATGCCTCTTTTAGACATATACGCCAAAATAATTTAGAAAACCTAAGAAGGCCACAATGGAAATAAAAAGGAAATTAATTTCTCTTAAAATTGACGATAAACCTTATAATATGTACATTTGATTTCTTTTCATTTATTTCTGGTTGGTACAGACTTATTTAAATACTTATACAATCAATCAATATGACATGTGATTGATTGATAATTATAAGACTAATGAATAAGTCACTATGCCGTTTATGCAATAAATGATTGTACTTAATTTGTCAAAGTAGATGATTATATATTATCATCATCATAATATAGTTATTCAATGTATTAATATAACAGGGTCTTACCTTTTTGTACGAATATTAACAGTTTGGTTTTTTTTTTCCTAATAAGGTCAACGACTTTGTTTGTGAAATAGTTATGGAATCTGTAATAACATTTAACATTATATATTTAACTGCTTTAGATGCACATTTTGACAAATAATATCTGTTTAGTGCGGCTCAATATATGTAAAAAAAAAAATCTTAATGCAAACGTTGAAGAGCTGATAAAACTGCACCAGACCAAAAGTTAGTCAAACAAAGACAAGGAGCTAAACATGTGGCAGATACGTTTTTTATTTCAAAAGAGGGACGAAAGATACCAGAGGGACAGTCAAACTCATAGATCGAAAACAAACTGACAACGCCATGGCCAAAAATAAAAAGACAAACAGACAAATAATAGTACAGATGACACAACATAGAAAACTAAAGACTAAGCAACACGAACCCCACTAAAAACTGGGGGTGATCAAACGCTTTTCAATGCTTAATCACTGGAAATTTCAAAAATATAATATCCGTATTTTCATCCAGTACCGAATTACTGAGTAAACCTCTGGATCTTACAGTCAACAAGCAGAGATATCGACCCAGTGGTAATAATAATACATTAATACAATTAAGGGTATCAATTTTACGCCTTCAGATGTACAATAAGACAAATAATGTCTATTCAATGATGTCCATTGCCACTATTTGTAAAAATCCAAAACCTAATACAACAATGAAAAAGCTGTAATGCTAGATGTATAGCAATTCCCGG